TTTTGTTTCTGTTGTTGTTTTGTTGTTGGTTGTGGGGTTTTTTTTTGTTTGTTTGTTTGTTTGTTTGTTTGTTTGTTTTTTTGATGGAGTCTTGCTCTGTTACCCAAGCTGGAGTGCAGTGGCATGATATTGGATTACTGCAACCTCCACCTCCCAGGTTCAAGCTAGTCTCCTGCCTCAGCCTTCCAAGTAGCTGAGACTACAGGCACATGCCACCACACTGGGTAATTTTTTTTTTTTTTTTTATTTTTGGGTTTCACCATGTTGGCCAGGCTGGTCTTGAATTCCTGACCTCGTGATCCACCCATCTCAGCCTCCCAAAGTGCTGTGATTACAGATGTTAGCCACCACACCCAGTCTGTATCATATTTATTGACTTGTGGATGTTAAACCACCCCTGCATCTCTGGTACCACTTGCTTATGGTGTATGATCCATTTGATATGCTCTTGGATGTTTTTAGCTAGTATTTTGATCAGGATTTTTGCATCTATGTTCATCAGGAATATTGGTCCGTAGTTTTCTTTTTTTGTTATGTCCTTTCTTGGCTTTGGTATTGGGGTGATATTGGCTTCTCAGAATGATTTAGGGAGGAGTCCCTCTTCCTCTATCTTTTGGAATAGTGTCACTAGGACTGGTACCAATTCTTTGAATGTCTGATAGAATTCAGCTGTGAGTCCATCTGGTCCTGGACATTTTTTTTATTGGTAACTTTTTAATTACCATTTTAATCTCACTGCTTGTTACTGGTCTGTTGAGAGTTTCAATTTATTCCTGATTTAATCTACAAGGGTTGTATATTTCTTGGAATTTATCCATCTCCTCTAGATTTTCTAGTTTGTGCACATAATGGTGTTCATAATAATCTTGAATGGTGTTCATAATAGTCTTGGACTTTGGTATTTCTGTGGTATCAGTTGTTATAGCTCCCATTTCATTTTTAATCAAGTTTATTTGGATCTTTTCTTTTCTTGATTAGTCTCACTAATGATCTATCAGTTTCATTTATCTTTTCAAATAACCAGCTTTTTGTTTCATTTATCTTTTCTATTTTTTGTTTGTTTCTGTTTCATTTGGTTCTGCTCTGATATTTGTTACTTCTTTTTTCTGTTGGGTTTGGGTTGGTTTTTTCTTGTTTCTCTAGTTCCTTTAGATGTGACCTTAGATAGTCTATTTATGCCCTTTCAGACTTGTTGATGTAACCATTCAAAGCTATGAACTTTCCTCTTAGCACTGCTTTTGCTGTGTCCCAGAGGTTTTGATAAGTTGTATAACTACTACTGCTCAGCTCAAAGAATATTTTAATTTCCACTTTGACTTCATTGTTGATCATTCAGGAGCAGATTCTTAAATTTCCATGTATTTGTATAGTTTTGAGGGTTCCTTTTGGAGTTAATTTCCAATTTTATCTTACTGTGGTCTGAGAGGGTACTTGATAGAATTTTGATTTTTTTTAATTAATATTGAGACTTGTTTTGTGGCCTATCCTATGGTCCACCTTGGTCTACCATATGCTGATGAGTAAAATGTATATTCTGCAGTTTTGGGGTATAATGTTCTGCAAATATTTGTTAAGTCCATTTGTTCTGGGTATAGTTTAAGTCCATTGTTTCCTTGTTGACTTTCTGTCTTGATGATCTGTCTAATGCCGTCAGTGGAGTACTGAAGTCCTCCACTATTATCGTGTTTCCATCTATCACATTTCTTAGGTCTAATAATAATTGTTTTATAAATTTGGGAGCTCCCATGTTAGGTGCATATATATTCAGGATTATAATATTTTCTTCTTGGATTGATCCTTTTATCATCATATAATGTCTCACTTTGTCTTTTTCAACTGCTGTTGTTTTAAAGTCTGTTTTGTCTAATATAAAAATAGCTACTTCTACTCACTTTTGGTTTCCATTTTCATGGAATATCTTTTTCCACCCCATTACCTTAAGTTTATGTGAGTCCTTATGCACTGGGTGAGTCTCTTGCAGACAGCAGATATTTGGTTGGTGGATTCTTACCCATTCTGCCATTCTGTATGTTTAAAGTGGAGCATTTAGTTCATTTACAGTCAACATTAGTACTGAGATGTGAAGTCCTGTTTTATTCATTGTGCTAGTTGTTGCCTGAACATCTTGGGTTTTTTTCTTTATGTTATGATTTAATAAGCCCTGTGAAATTTATGTTTTAAGAAGGTTCTACTTTGGTGTATTTTGAGGTCTTGTTTCAAGATTTAGAACTCTTTTTAGCATTTCTTGTGGTGCTGGCTTGGAAGCGGTGAATTCTCTCAACATTTGTTTGTCTGAAAAACGACCTTATTTCTCCTTTATTTATGAGGCTCAGTTTTGCCGGATACAAAATTCTTGGCTGAAAATTACCACGTCTGAGGAGGCTAAAGATAGGACCCCAATTCGTTCTGGCTCATAGGGTTTCTACTGAGAAATCTGCTGTTAATCTGATAGGTTTTCATTTATAGGTTACCTGATACTTTTGCCTCATGGTTCTTGAGATTCTTTCCTTTGTTCTTAACTTCAGATAACCTGATCACTATGTGACTGAGTGATGATCTTTTTGTGATGAATTTGCTGGGTGTTTTTGAGCTTCTTGTATTTGGATGTTTAGATCTCTGGTGAGGCCAGGCAAGTTTTCCTCAATCATGTTTTCCAAACTTTTAGATTTCTCTTCTTCCTCAGGAACACAAATTATTTTTGGGTTTGGTAGACATAATCACAAATTTCCCAGAGGCTTTGTTCATTTGTTTAATTTTTTTTCTGAGTCTTTGTTGGATTAGGTTACTTCAAAAGCCTTGTCTTCAAGCTCTGAAGTTTTTTCCTACTTGTTCAATACTATTGTCGAAACTTCCCAGTGCATTTTGTATTTCTCTAAGTGTGTCTTTCACTTCCAGAAGTTATGATTGTTTTTTCTTTATGATATCTGTTTCTCTGGAGCATTTTTCATCCATATCCTGCATTGCTTTTTAAATTTCTTTAAGTTGGTTTTCTCCTTTCTCTGGCATCTCCTTGAGTCGCTTCAACCTTCTAAATTCTTTATCTGACAACTCAGAGATTTTTTCATTGGTTTGAATCCATTGCTGAGGAGCTAGTGTGGTCTTTTAGGGGTGTTGTAGAACCTTGTCTTGTCATATTACCAGACTTTTCTCATTTCTTCCAATTTGGGTAGACTATTTCAGTGGAAAAATCTGGAACTCAAGCACTGCTATTTAGACTCTTTTGTCCCATGGGGTGGCCCCTTGATATGGTACACACCCACTTCCCCAAGGATGGGGCTTGCTGCAAGCCTGACTGCAGAGACTATTACCTGCTTTTCTGGGTCTAGCCACCCAGTGGGGCTACCAGGCTCTGAGCTGGAAATGGGGGATTTCTGCAAAGAGTCCTGTAATGCGATGCATCTTCACGTCTCCCAGTCATGGATACCAGCCTTGTCGGAGGTGGCAGGAAAGTGAAGTAAACTCTGTGAGAGTCCTTGGTTATAGAGATGTTTAGTGTGCTGGCTTTCTCAAATGCTGGTTATACTAGCAGTGAAGTTGTCAAATGGACAGATTCAGGACCACTGGTTAGCTAGGATGTTGCAGGGTACATGGAATTAGCTGTTTTCCTCTTCCTTGGAGCAGCGTTATTTTTGTCATGAGTGCTGCAATATCCTGAGTTGGTCAGACAAAAGCCAGAAGATGGCGCTTTCCAGAAAGCACCAGCTTGCTCTAAGTTGGCCAAGGTAAGTGTTTGGATGTTTCAAGTAATGGGCAGGGTCATACAGCTCCCAAGAGTTTATGTCTTTCATGATCCACTACAGGGTATAGAGAAATAACATCAGGTCAGGGCAGGGCTAGGCAGATCTGAGCTCAGACTCTCCTTGGATGAGTCTTGCTGCAGCCGCTGTCGGGGATCAGGGGGTGGTTCTCAGGCCAATGAGGTTAAGTTCCAATCATGGCTGCCTCTGTCACCAGGAAAGTGGGGGAAAGCCAGTAGCGATAGGCCTCACTCAGCTCCTAACCAGTTGGCAAGGCCAGTCTCATTCCCACTGTGTCCTCTAACAGCACTGAGTTTGTCTCCAGGCAGCCTGCACACGGGACTCAGACCTAGCCCCAGATTATGAGTTTCCCAGCTGAGAAAGCAAGCAGGGCTTTCAGGTTACAACCCTCCCCATCTGCCCACACTGTCTTCCATGATTCCTCCTCTCCTTTGAAGCAGTTCCTACTTGCCCCCCGCATTCTGCTCAAGAGAGTTTGTGCCCAGTCAAAATTATTATAAAAACTGCAATTACTTTTGCATAGTATCTAAACATTTTTTAATATAGTATGATAATATGAATTTGACCAGCTCAAGAAACTCCTTATGATTTTATCTGTTTAGATCAAATAACCATTTATTTCAAAGGACTCATCGTCATTATACTTATTAAATATTTTATTTGTTTAATGTAGTAGACAATGAACTCCATGAAAATAAGAAATACATTTCTCTTGTCACTAAAACTCCAGAGCCCAATGTGGTGTCTCTTTGATAGTGGGAGCTCAAATGTATTTTTTCAAATCAAAGAAATTTAATGAAGAACTGTTCATTCCATGACATATTTGGCTAAATTAGAACCAGTTCCTGCATTCAAGAAGCTCAAGTCTGCTGAGGGAGACTAACACGCAATCAATAAACAATAGTACAACATAATAAGTGCTGTACCAGAAATATAAACAAATATTATAGAAACATAAGAAAGGAAGTGATTAATTCTGCTTAAAGGCAGAAAATATTAGGAGGCAGGGCATGGTGGCTCACGCCTGTAATCCCAGCACTTTGGGAGGCTAAGGAGGGCGGATCATGCGGTCAGGAGTTCGAGACCAGCCTGGGCCAACATGGTGAAACCCCATCTCTACTAAAAACACAAAAATTAGCCAGGCATGGTGGCAGGTGCCTATAACCCCAGCTACTCAGGAGTCTGAGGCAGGAGAATAGCATGAACCTGGAAAGTTGGAGCTGCAATGAGCCAATATCATGCCACTAAATGCCAGCCTGTAGACACAGTGAGACTCTGTCTCAAAAAAAAAAAAAAAGTAGAAAATATTAAGAAGTTTCTGACCAAGTAATAAATACTCATTTCCTTGGGATGCATGTTATACTAAGAAAGAATGTCTATATCATAATCTATTAACTTTATTAGTCCCACAGTTCAATTGAACATATTGTGTATTGCTGATTTTTTAGATATTACTACACTATTTCAGGACATCTTGAAAAGGCTTATCCTAAAACAATCTTTTAGAATCTTTTTTTATAGTCATATTATATATATCAATTCCTGAAAGTATTTCAATAACAAAAAGTGAAATTCAAGGCTATAATATTAATAACACTAGTTTGCTTGCAATAGGAAAACCTAGATGAGAAAGCCTATTGCTTTTTTGCCAGCTACCACATATTAGTTACAGTGATCATCACCAAGTGTTCATTTATTGTGATTTCTGTTAAGTATGTACTTAACAAATCCTTTCTTGCTCCCAACAAAAGCTTTGGGGTTTCACTATCTTACTCTATAGGGAAGTCTCATATGCCCTGAAAATAAAGATTTGTTTCCTCTCTTGGCTACAGCACAAATAATAGCATCCTTTACTTAGAAACAACCAGACTTATACTCATCCAAAGCACATAAATTTAGTTAAATGGTGCCATCTGGTGACATAAATCTTGCAGTAAATATACAAAGACCAGAGTCAGAGTATAGAATGATATCCAACCTTCTTGATGGCATCCAATGCAAAGTGTCTACTTAAGAAACACTTGATCCTGCCTGATATGAAACACACAACTAATCATACTCAGTATACAACAATTTAACGAAGGGAATTATAAGAATTGTTTAAGCCACATTTTATGCTTACTACTCTTGTTTCTCAAGTCTTTGGAGAGACTTGTGTCTAACAGGATGCCCTATACAACTCCTAGAAAACATTTTAAAAGCATAAATATCAAGAACATCTTGAATCCCCATTCCAGGCAGATCCATTTCCTCACTCTCCTTTGAACATATATGAATGCGTATAATTTTCTTCACTTTAAAATGCCACTTCCTCAAGAAAGCCATCCCTGTTTTCCACTGTTGAGGTTAAGCTTCTCACTCATAGCAACCTCTGCTTCTTCTTTGTATATAAACTACTTACAAAATTTTGTTTAATGCTCGTCTCCCCGGTGTGTATCACGGTATCTGGCAAAATGTTCAATAAATATCTTGTGAATGAGTGAATGTGTGAATTGACGGTGAAAAAGTCCTTCTCTATTCTCCCTTCGGATGCAAATCCTATTAGTGACAAGGTTCGCCTCAAGTTTACATTTTATGTAAAAGCATCCCTAGCAACACCAGTGTACAATAAGCCCAAGCTTCTCCTATACCACTGTGGTCTAGCCCCAAAAATTTAGTCCTCCACTATATGATGTCTCATACTTTTTTTCAGGTACATAAATATTACCTTCCCAATTGACCTTAAGCTCTTTAAGTGTAGGCATTTGGTCTTAATAGCATCCATCTGCGTAAGTCTATGTATATAGGTAAACACTTCATAAATACTTTGATAACTATTATTACTCAATTGCAATATCTAAAACACCTGTATTCTTTTTAAAAAAATAAGTACTGTAAACAAGTAAGTAGGAACATAATAGATCTTAACAACTAAGAATTTAACATTCACTGTTTTGACGAGACAAGACTTACTTAAAGATCATGTAATTTGTTTGTTTCAGCTGAAGTACATGCTTTGAGCTTGTGAATGGCAGCAAGCATTATCTAGTAAATGCCTCTCTCACATGGGTCAGCAACAAAATCTCAGTGTAGCTTTATCCATAAACCTACTTATTGTAACAGGGAATTCTATCCACAGAATAATTATTGTAACATCAGTAGAAACTATCTTGTAACATAAGTAGAAACAATCATTAATTATCCAAAGGGGGAAAAATCTCTCAAATGTTTTAGATATTCTATTGTAAGGCTGGGTGTGGTGCCTCATGCCTGTAATCCCAGCACTTTGGGAGGCCAAGGTGGGAGGATCACTTGAGCCCAGGAGTTCAACACCAGCCTGAGCAACGTGATCAAACCACCCCTCCACAAAAAGCACAAAAATTAGCTAGGCATTATTGCACACATCTGTAGTTCCAGCTACCAGGGAGGCTGAGGTGGGAGAAGTGCTTGAGCCCAGAAAGTGGCGGTTGCAATGAGCCAAGATTGCACCACTGCACTCCAGCCTGGGCAA